CTCCAAGCAACCTAGCAGGTGTGACTGCAAACAAAGGCCAGTCAACACAGAGCCAGTAAAACAGGATTCAAAATCCACGTCAACATAAGTGCTAATTGCTGGTGCCAAGAACTTTGCATTTCAATGTCAGAAAGCTTACAAAACTATGTATCTTTTTGAAAAAAAAGCATTCGAAATGCATTCCGTAGCTATATCTTCAAAATTAGATGTCAATCTTGGCTCGATGCTACAGCATTATCAGAATTAGAAAGTTGTGGGTATGAACCTCATTCTGGGATATAAGCATATAATCCTGGTTGAACGTCCTGGAGAGTAATTGCTACAATGTCACAGGCATTGCTTTTTAGTTGAGATGTTAAAACTGAGGCGTTGCCTGTCTTTGCATATCATGCTATCTCAATAACAGGTGGGGAGCTCTCCAAGTATGTTGGCAATGTCAATTCCTTAATTAACTCCACTACATAGTCCATCTAGTCAATTATCTCATTGATATTTGAGAAGCTTATTCTGCACAAATTGGCTAACCATATTTCGCCTTGAAACTGACCGCATTTCAAAGAAGCTGTCAAAAACACAATTGGATATTTTATAGCTCGTGAAAGGCACTATTTAAATTCTATTAAAATGTTAAAGCTCAGAGGCATTTTTGTTTTAAATTCTGAAGCACAAAAACCTCCAAAACATGTCTCAACTAAAAGTAGCTGGCTTGTAAACAAATATTCTCAGAAAATCCTACCTTTAGTGGCACAAAAAGCATTCATGGGACAAAACGAATTCCATAACTTCAGTGATAGCAAGGTGTAGAGCTGGATGAACACAGCAGGCCAAGCAGCATCATAGGAGCAGGAAGGCTGACGTTTCGGGCCTCGACCCTTCATCAGAAATGGGGGAGGGGAAGGGGGTTCTGAAATAAATAGGGAGAGAGGGGGAGGCGGATAGAAGATGGATAGAGGAGAAGATAGGTGGAGAGGAAACAGACAGATCAAAGAGGCGGGGATGGAGCCAATAAAGGTGAGTGTAGGTGGGGAGGTAGAGAGGAGATAGGTGAGTCCAGGGAGAACGGACAGGTCAAGGGGGTGGGATGAGGTTAGTAGGTAAGAAATGGGGGTGCAGCTTGAGGTGGGAGGAGGGGATAGGTGGGAGGAAGAACAAGTTAGGGAGGCAGGGACGAGCTGGGCTGGTTTTGGGATGCAGTAGGGGGAGGGGAGACTTTGAAGCTTGTGAAATCCACATTGATACCATTGGGCTGCAGGGTTCCCAAGCGGAATATGAGTTGCTGTTCCTGCAACCTTCGGGTGGCATCGTTGTGGCACTGCAGGAGGACCAGGATGGACACGTCATCCGAGGAATGGGAGGGGGAGTTGGAATGGGAGGGGGAGTTGTAATGGTTCGCGACTGGGAGGTGCAGTTGTTTATTGCGAGCCGAGCGTAGGTGTTCTGCAAAGCGGACCCCAAGCCTCCGCTTGGTTTCCTCAATGTAGAGGAGGCCACAACGGCAACCACCTAGAAACCGATGGAATACACCTCCTCCCACCCACCTTCCTGCAAAAATGCCATCCCCTATTCCCAATTCCTTCGCCTCCGCCGCATCTGCTCCCATGATGAGGCATTCCACTCCCGTACATCTCGGATGTCCTCATTTTTCAAGGACTGCAACTTCCCCCCTCAGTGGTCAAGAACGCCCTCCACCGTGTCTCCCGCAACTCATCCCTCACACCCCGTCCCGCAATAACAACCAAAAAAGAATCCCCCTCATCCTCACGTACCACTCCACCAACCTCCGGATCCAACACATCATCCTCCGACACTTCCGCCATCTGCAATCTGACCCCACCACCAAAGACATTTTTCCCTCCCCACCCTTATCTGCTTTCCGGAGGGACAACTCTCTCCGTGACACCCTTGTCTGCTCCACGCTCCCCTCCAGCCCCACCACACCCAGCACTTTTCCCTGCAACCGCAGGAAGTGCTACACCTGCCCCCACACCTCCTCCCTCACCCCCATCCCAGGCCCCAAGAAGACTTTCCACATCAAGCAGATGTTCACCTGCACATCTGCTAATGTGGTAAACTGCATCTGCTGTTCCCATTGTGACCTCCTCTACATTGGGGAAACCAAGCGGAGGGGACCGCTTTGTAGAACGCTTAAGCTCGGTTCGCAAGTAACAACTGCACCTCCCAGTCGCGAACCATTTCAACTCCCCCTCCCATTCCTAAGACGACATGTCCATCCTGGGCCTCCTGCAGTGCCACAACGATGCCACCCGAAGGTTGCAGGAACAGCAACTCATATTCCGCTTGGGAACCCTGCAGCCCAATGGTATCAATGTGGATTTCACAAGCTTCAAAGTCTCCCCTCCCGCTACCGCATCCCAAAACCAGCCCAGCTCGTCCCCGCCTCCCTAACTTTTCTTCCTCCCACCTATCCCCTCCTCCCACCTCAAGCTGCACTCCCATTTCCTACCTACTAACCTCATCCCACCCCCTTGACCTGTCCGTTCTCCCTGGACTCACCTATCTCCTCCCTACCTGGACTCACCTTTACTGGCTCCATCCCCGCCTCTTTGATCTGTCTGTTTCCTCTCCACCTATCTTCTCCTCTATCCATCTTCTATCCGCCTCCCCCTCTCTCCCTATTTATTTCAGAACCCCCTTCCCCTCCCCCATTTCTGATGAAGGGTCGAGGCCCGAAACGTCAGCCTTCCTGCTCCTATGATGCTGCTTGGCCTGCTGTGTTCATCCAGCTCTACATCTTGTTATCTCAGATTTTCCAGCATCTGCAGTTCCTACTATCTCCATAACTTCAGTAATTCTTTGTCAACCACGCAATACAGTAACATGATATATGTACAACTCAATTCAACCACCAGGATTTGATCAATCTAAAGCTTTTTTCCCCCAAAATAAAGTAATTACTTATACTACAAATAATTTGTATTTATAATCCATAAATTGAGATGCAAGATCATCGACCTCATTCCCATTGCACAGATGTCTGCCAGTCCTGCTGAATATTTCCAGTATTTCCTCTTCGTAATTAAAGAAAATCCAAGAAAAGTTTTGGTCATAAAAGTAGGCTTCTATTAAGTGCCTTAACTGGAAAACACTGATTACAGAGGCAGTAAAGTTTGGAGAGAAAATTTCAGAGTTTATAATCTCAGCAGTTGGAGGCAATGCCACCAATGGATAAGATAAAAATCACTGATGCTTGAGAAAGAGACTTGCATTGTTATAGCACTTATGACAACTGGATAGCTGGAAAAAAAGCTTTATAGCCAATGTACTATGAAGTACCTTTTGAAGTGTAATCACTTTTTTATTTGTTCATGAGATTCGGGTGTCATTATTATTACCCATTGCTAATTGTCCAGATGGTATTTAAAAGTCAACCACTCTGGAGTAGGCGTGGAGTCTCAGGTAGGCCATACCAGGTAAGAATGGAAGATTTACTTCCCTAAAAGACATCAGTGAGCCAGATAATTTTTTACAATGCGACAGTGGTTACATGGTTGTCATTAGACTAGAATCCAGTGCTCCCTTGACCTTTCTGGGCTTCCAACACTCAGATTTGTACATTATATGGATAGTGATGTGTCATGCATTCTTTTTGTTAACATGTATTTCAAATAGTTAGGTGACTACTTTTGGCACAGACTCAGTGATCCAAAGGGCTTTTCTCTGTGCTATAGACCTCTATGATTCTAAATTTTCTACTCTCCTTGTACATCTTACCTATTTATGGTGTGGCTAAAGATAATCATTCAATCGAAGACGGAATAAAATGTTGCAGACTTCTCTAATCATACCTTTTAGTGCAATATTCATTTCTGCTTCCAGTACAAGGTTAAATAAGTTAACAACAAGCATCATTCTCTTAACTCAACTCTTGATACATGTCACCAATGTAATTATAGGTTTAGAAGTTTTATTGTTGTCACTATCATACGACAACATGAAAGTAAAATCAAATCAACCCCTATTTAGATAATGCTTTTAATTATGGAAAGTATTTTAAGTTGCAAAAACTGTTGGTGCAATTCCCAGAGGAGTAACTCCAAAGTATAATCAAGTTAACATGAATCAGCATCATAATCAGCTGCGAATGTGTGCAGAGGAATGTAGATGGGGACAGTTAAAATCCAAAGAAAATAGAAATTAACTATAAGTTTATAATATGTGCATTGGTATTTTAATCTTGACCATTAGGCTGGTTACAGGACATACAAATCTGGTCTGGTTCTCAAAAGCATACTCAGTATCCAGTGTATCCTTTCCTTTATGTACTCATGTTTCCATTTGATGGGAGTTAGACACGATAGAGAATCAAAGAATTCCTACACCAAAGAAAGAGGCCGTTGGGCCCATTAAGTCTGCACTGACCCTCCAAACAGCATCCCGACCTGACCCAGACACCTACCCTGCCCCCACAACCCCGCATTTACCATGGCTAATCCACCTAGCCTAAACATCCCTGGACTGTATAGATAATATAGCATGGCCAATCCACCTAACTTGCACATTTTTGGACTGTGGGAGGAAATGAGAGCACCCAGCAGAAATCCAAATCTGGGCACATTGACAATCACCCGAGGCTGGAATCGAAGCAGAGTCCCTGGTGCTGTGACGCAGCAGTGTTAACCACTGAGTCACTGGGCTGCGCTTGGACAATGAATATGCATGCACATGAGCCTTTCCAAAGCTACTGTCCCATCTCTTCACTATTTTTTAATGAGTTAAGAGGTGTGATCATTCAAGATTGTTGGGCCTGAGAGTGGTTTAATTCAGTGGGTGGGATGGTTGAGTGATCCTTTAGAGGAACCTATACAATTTGCAGTGGTGAAGACAAAGGATTACTTTAGTTTAAGTCCAGGAAAATTCCTTGAAATGCAACTTCCAAATGATGGAGGCCCTAGGTAGGGGACTGAGCAAGAGGGTGACACTGGAAAGTTGTTAATGAGGAAAAGATACCTTAAACCAAATTTGAACAGAAAATGTGTTACCTGATGGGTAGTTTCAGTGATAGCTTCCAACAACTTTTCTAAAGCTGTTTGCAGACGGGCTCCCACATTTAGTACAAGCTCTTCAGTCTCAGGATCCAGTTCTCCACTAGTGAAAATACTCTCTGTGAAACGGTGAGACAGCTCCAGACTTTCATGTGCAGCACCAGTCATTCCTCCTGGCCAGATACTATTATCATCCCCTCCTGTATCATATCCATGCTCTTCTGAGGATTAAGCAAAAGTCTGTAAATCGGGCTTTGCTCACTAAACAGAAGATCATTTCACAATAATAGTTATTAAAGCATTCAAAGCTTCAGTTCAAAACATTTTGGTCCAGATTTTGCATTATTAATGATTGTGAAATTGCCTGTGCTCACAGTCATTACTTCTTTGAAAGTGACAGCAACTTTTGGAAATCCAAAGTCTGCTGCCAGCAATCCTATATTTCTTAAAAGACCACACTTTTGGAATTCCCCGAATCTGCATACAATTAGAGGTTACTAAGCTAATGAGACTTTACCCTTTTACCCGATTAATACCACTGTAATAACCTTTGAAGGCATTACACCTTGGAAAACAAGGGGTACCTGGGTCTTTAATGACACACTAAGTTCACAATTATTAGTGAATGATTCCTCTAGCTCTGTAGAAACAATTTTATATTTACAGAGTGTCAAAGTTCTCAGTATGGTTAAATAATTCTACATTTTAATGATGGTTTTATAAATCTAATAGATCCCTGAAGGTGGCAGGACAGGTTAATGGGGTAGTTAAGGCAGCATGTGGAATGGTTGCCTTATCAGTTGTGGCACAGATTATAACAGCAGGGAGGTAATGCTGGAGCTATACAGAAATTTGATTAGGTCACAGGTGGAGCACTGTGGGCAGTTCTGGTCACCATACTATACGAAGGATGTAATTGCACTGGATAGGTTGCAAAGGAGATTCGCCAGGCTTTTGCAAGGAATGAAGCATTTCAATTATGAAGAGAGGCTGTATAAGCTCTGGGTGTTTTCTTTGGAGCAGGTTGAGGGGAGGACTTGACGAAGTGTCTAAGATTATGAGTGGCATAGACAGGTTGGATAGGAAGCAGCCATTCCCCTTAGTTGAATGGTCAATAACAAGAGGCCATAATTTTGGAGAGAAATACAGGAGGTTTAGAGGACTTGAGGAAAAATCTTTCTTCCCAGAGGGCGGTGGGGGTCTGGAATGTGCTGCCTGGGAGAGTAATTGAGGCAGGAAACAACACAACCTTTAAAAGATACTTGGGATGAGCATTTGAAGTGTCATAACATTCAAGGTTAAGGACCTAGTATAAGTAGTAGTGTATTTTTATTGGTGTAGACTTGGTAGCCAAAGGGCCTGTTCTGTACTGTATTATTCAATGAAACATTTTTGATATTTCATCTACTAATTTAATATGTGTATGAATCATTTATTTCACTCTGTAAAATGTCATTGATAGTGCATTTTAATTCATGGTTTGCTGTCTGAGAGACCACTTTGAGGTGATTGGCTCCATATCCTAATGCCGTCACAGCTTTTGGACACTTGCAGCTGGAGACAACACCCACCCCCACACCCAATGTCACAAATCACGAAATCTTTGTGCACCTGTTCCTTCTAGATCAACAGAGGTATAGACAGGGTGGATAGCAAGAAGCTTTTCCCCAGAGTGGGGGACTCAATTACTAGGGGTTATGATTTCAAGGTGAGAGGGGAAAAATTTAAGGGAGATATGCGTGGAAAGTTCTTTACGCAGAGGGCGGTGGGTGCCTGGAATGCATTGCCAGCGGAGATGGTAGAGGCGGGCACAATAGCGTCATTTAAGATGTATCTAGACAGATACATGAATGGGCAGGGAGCAGAGGGATATAGATCCTTGGAAAATAGGTGACAGTTTTAAATAGAGGATCTGGATCGGCACAGGTTTGGAGGGCCAAAGGGCCTGTTCCAGTGCTGTAATTTTCTTTGTTCTAACAGCAAGCACAATCATTTCACTGCTGACTGTAAAATCAGAGGCCTATCAGTAACAATATCAGTAATGTGCTGTCTGTTAATCTTCACGAACTTTCTAAAATAAATCTTCTAATATTTAGAATTAGGATTACTTAAGAATTTTAGTAAACTGCACAGACAGCACATTACAAGCATGCTTAATAAATACATAAAACATTAGCCTTGGTAATGAAAACAAACACAACTTATGGCATTTTGGTTTAAATCTTCAGACCTCTAGAAGCTTAAGAGATAAACAGACATTTTAGTAATTTTGGGGAAAAATATGGAAGCGATACAACATAATAGTGATACACTGATGGAGAGAGTTAATCAAGTAATCATTCAACACAGAAGACATTGGGTTTATTATGCAGACAACAGCTGTTTGAAAGAAATACGTAATTATTCATACTCGCCGGCACTTTCCACATTGCTTTACAAGGATTTTAAGCCTACTTGTTGATGCACCAACTATTTTATACAACTAGAAGTGAAAGATATGCAATGTCTTCAGGGAAAGAAAAACTATTATTATTATTCTACATTGGTTATTGTTTAACTGATTTCAAGGGCAGTTGAGGAAGCTTTGCAACAGGGATTAGCAAAATGAATGAGAGTAGCTAGAAGCTAACCTTGCAACACACACCACTAATTGTGAGAAGTAGAGGAGACAGTGATAACAATAAGGAATATTTTTCGATTAATGGAATGCAACAAGGGGTCATGATTTGTTGTGGGCTTTAGCTTCCATCATATGTATTAATGACAGTTAAAGAAATTCAGAGTCACATATTTGAATAAGGCGGTATAATTACGTTTCATGGTTGGAGGTAGGTAGTTACAGATATAGAAGGCAAAAGCGAGTAAAACTACACCAGATGCAAATTTTACAAAGAGAACTGTTTGCCATTTACATAAACAATTTGGATGAGAATATAGGAAGCATGGTTAATAAGCTTGGGGATTACACCAAAAATTGGTGGCATAGTAAATAGTGAAGAAGGTTATCTAAGATTACAAAGGGATCTTGATCAATTGGGACAAATCAGCCATGGAGTGGCAGATGGAGCTTAAATTAGATAAATACGAGGTGTTGCATTTTGGTAAGACAAACAAGGACAGGAGTTATACAGTTAATGATACAGCACTGGGGAGTTCTGTCGAACAGTGGGTCCTAGGAGTTCAGGTACATAGTTCCTTGAAAGTGGCATCACAGATAGACAGGATGGTAAAGATGGCCTTTGGCACGCTTGCCTTCATCGCTCAGACCATTGAATATAGGAGTTGGGACGTTATTTGCAGTTGTGCAGGTCATTGGTGAGGCCACTTTTGAAGTATTGTGTACAGTTCTGGCCACCCTGCTATAGGACAGATATTAGTAAATTTGAGAGGATACAGAAAAAAATTACAAGGATGTTACCAGGACTGGAAGATTTGAGTTATCAGAAGACGTTGGATAGGCTGGGACTTTTTTCACTGGAGCGTTGGAGGTTGAAAGGTGCCTTATAGAGATTTATAAAATCATGAGCGGCATAGATAAGGTGAACAGCAAAGATCTTTTCCTTGGAATAGGAAAGTTCAAAACTAGAGGGCATAATTTTAAGGTGAGAGGAGAAAGATTTAGAAGGGATCTGAGGGGCAACTTCTTCATACAGTTGGTGCTTCATGTGTGGAATGACCTGCCAGAGGAAGTGGCAGATGCAGGTGCAGTTACAACATTTAAAAGACATTTGGACAGTTACATGAATAGGAAAGATTTAGAGGGATATGGGGCAAATGCAGGCAAACAGGACTAGTTTAGTTTAGGAAACTTGATCGGCATGGACGAATTGGACTGAAGGGTCTGTTTCTACGCTGTATGATTCCAAGCGTGAAATTAGCTCCTGCGTATCCAAAAAAGATCAACGGGCATATTTTCTGATAAGAATCTAGGAACTGGAAACACAATTTAGATACCCATGTGCAAAACTAAAAGGCTAATAGGACTTATTAAAATGGTACTGAAAATCCCAAGTGAGAAAGTGATCTTCAGTTGTATGGCGTCAGACCCCATCCGCAGCACTGCATTCACTTTTGGACACTGCGCATCAGGAAAGAGATATGGTCTTGGAGAAAATAGAGGGGAAATTTTAGAAATGTATATCAGGGCTCAAAGGGTTAAGTTATGAAGATAGATCACAATATGATTGTATTCCATTGAGTTTAGAAAATTGCGAAGTGATACAATCGAGATATTTAAAATAATAGTGATTTGATAGGATGAATGAGGAACATAATCTTAAAACTAGAGTTGGATGATAATAAAATTAAGAAGCACTTCCTTTGTATACAGGTTTCTGGAAATTGCACCTCCTAAAGGATGTGGATGGACCGAGTCAATTGAAATTTTTATGACTGAATTTGACAGATATTTGTTATGAAGAAATGGCAAGTAAATAGACCAAAGGCACATATCAGCTATGATCAAAACTGAAAAGCACAATGGCCTCTCCTGATTTGTGCAACGTCAGTTTTAATATTCCAGTGCTTTATCTTTGCAAAAAGTTAAGAAAAATTATTTAGCTGTTTCTGAATAATTTCCAACAAGACTGAACTAGTTTCTCAATAGAAAGCAATTTTAACTTGCGAGCAGTGTCTACTAATAAATTGCTTTGCATCAAATGGATTATTTTGAAGAATAGAGTAGCCTGATGGGTGATTATTACAGGCTAACCTGCGTGGGGGGTGAGGGGGGCGGTGGTGGTGGTGGCGGTAGGAAGGAAGCAAGAATGGATCATCTGATATTCTGATGGTTTCTAAAGAATGCAATTTACAGTTTCCAATACAGAAACCTTCCATATCTCTCTTAGTGCAATACAACACCTTAAGGTACTTCACAGATGCATTTCAAAACAAATTATGTGTCTGAGTAATGTAAGGAGACACAAGGGCAAATAATCAAAAGTTGGTCAAAGAAGTAGATACGGAGAAGTGTCTTTAGAAGGAAACAGAGATGGAGATATGTAGGGTAAGAATTGCAGAGCTTATGGTCTGAAAAATGAAAATCAGAGCCTCATATGCTAGAGTGATGAAAATCAGGGATGCTCAAACAGTCATAATAACAGTGGCGCTGATATTTTGGAGAGCTGAATTGTTGGAGGAGATTAAAGAGATAGGGAGAACCAGGAGTATGGACAGACCGGAAAACAAGCACCAGAATTTAAATAAATGAGGCAGAAGCCGAACCAGAAGCCAGTGTAGGTCGGTAAGCACAAGGTTGATTGATGAAGTTGTTTCAATGCAAGTTAGGAAAAGGCGCTGCAGATTTTGAATGAACTAAAGTTTACAGAAGGTTGAATTTGTGAAGCTAGCTGGGAATCTGTAGAATAACAGCTTGGAGGCAACAAAGGCATGGATGAGGGTTTAACCAGAGTCAAGTGAAATTATGGTGGTAGTGGAGTTCTCAGTGATAACAGGAATAGGTGACTGAAAACTTGTCTCAGTGAAGGTGACAGAGATTGACAGCAACAGAGAGAGCAGATGGACTGCTTTCAAATCAAGAGCTCAAAAATAGGACATATTAATCCAGGGTGGATGCCACAGAAACAAGTGAGTTGAATACTAGTCTTCCTCATCTCTAGATTAGGACATAAATTTAAACTAGTTGTCAGGAAATTAAAAGATTTCAAATAAATAAAACAGTAAGTGAATTAATGGAAGTAGTAGCCAATATCATTAACACAACTCTCCGTTATGTTGTATGGCATGATTACTGTGCTAAACAGGACATACTTTGAACAGGTTGTAGATTTGTTCGCCAAGCCAGTATGTTTGATTGCAGACGTTTCGTCACCCTGCGAGGTAACACTGTTAGTGTGCCTCTGGTGAAGCATTGGGTGTTCTGTCCCGCTTGTTATTCGTATTCCTTGGTTTGCTGGGGTGGTTGGCATCACTTTCGGTTCTGTTTTTCAGTGGTTTGTATACCATCCAATGCCAGGGAATTGATGGAGGGCTGGTATTCCAACCGGAACTCCATGAACAAACACACTGAACTGGACCCAATATTCAAACCACTGAAACACGAACCGAAAAAGTGATGCCAACCACCCCAGCAAACCGAGGCATATAAATAACAAGCGGGACAGAACACTAACGCTTCACCGGAGGCACACTGACGATGTTACCTAGTAGGGTGATGAAACATCTGCAATCAAACAGACCGGCTCGGCGAGCAAGTCTACAACCTCATCCGCAACCTGAGCTACAAATCTTCTCAAAAACTTTATACTTTGAACAGATCTAACAAATCAAAATTCAGCATCCACATGGTGCTGTAGGCCATCAGCAGCAGAATTGTACCTAACCACAATTTGTAATTTTATGCCTCACTGTAACTCAACCCATCATTGCAATCAAGCCAGGAGATCAATACTGGTTTGATGAAAAGGACAGGAGAGTATGCTAGTCAGCACCAGGCAAATATAAAAATGAGGTGTCAACCCAGTGAAACAACTACCCAGGACTACCTGCATGCCAAACACTAGAAGCAGTATGAAATAGATAGAGCTAAACGGTTTCACAACCAACAGATCAGATCAAAGCTATGCAGTCCTGTCACAAACAGTCATGAATAATGGTAGACTATTAAATAACTCACAGGAGGCTCCACAAATATCCTCATCCTTAATGAGGCATAGAGGGCTACAACACAGAAAAATGCCTTTTAGCCCATCGAGTCTGCATTTATTCTAATGATTTTTTCCAGCATTTGGCCCACAGTCCTGTATGGTTTGGCATCACAAATGTACATCACAAGGATTTCTGCTTCTATCACCCTTTTGGATCGTGAGTTCCAGATTGTCACCATCCTGTGGGGGAGAAACAATTTCCCCACATCCCTGCTAAATCTCCGGTTCCTTAACTTAACGCTACGACCCCTGTCATTGATTTCCTCCACCAAGAAGAAATGTTTCTTTCCATCTATCCTAATTATGCCCCATATAATTTTATACATCTCAATCATGACACTGCTTAGCCTCCTCTACTCCAAGGCAAACAACCCCAGTCTATCTAATCCTATCCCTTTATAACAAAAATTACCAGCCGGGCAACATCCTGGTAAGTCAACTCTGCACCTTCTCCAGTTCAATCACATCCTTCCTACAGCATGGATTCCAGGACTGCACACAACACAGAGAGCTCACCATATCAGTGCAAAGACACGGTTGAAGTATTTGCATCCATCTACAGCCAAAAGTGCCAAGTGGATGATTCATCTAGGTCCCCAGCAACCCAGATGCCATTCTTCAACCAATTCAGTTCACACCTCAACGGACAACTGAAGAACTGTAAAGACTATAGCCCTGACAACATTCTGACAAGAGAACTGAAGAAATGCTCCAGAACTAGCTGTGGCCTAGACAAATTGCTCCAGTGCAGCTTAAACACAGGTATCTACCTGACATTAGATACACCTGTGTAAATTTTCACAATGCACAAAAAGCGAAACAAATCCAACCCGACCAATTACTGCCCTATTACCGTACTGCCTGTCATCAAAGTGATGAAAGAGGTCATTGACAATGCTATCAAGTGGCACCTGCAAAGAAATAACCTGCGCAATGATGCACCATTTTTGTTAAACTAGGACCACTAAGCTTCTGACCTCATTACAGCCTTGGTCCAAAAATGGCAAAGAGAGTGGGAACTCCAGAAGGGAGTGACTACCCCCCACATGATGCCATACTTTGACATCAAGAACCCTAATGAAACTAGAGTCAATGGAAATCAGGAGAAAATTCTGTGCCAGTTAGAATTGTAGCTGATGCAAAGGCAAAAATCAAGAGTGTAACAGAATTTTCTCCACTTGCTTGGATGCATGCAGTTCTAACAACATTCAAGAAGCTTGACACCATCCACAACAAAATAGGCTGCTTGACTGGTACACAATCCACCACCTTCAAGATTCACTTCCTTCACAATCAATATATATTGGTTGCTGCATATGCCATCTACAAGACATGAAAAAGTAACTCACCAAGCCACTTTCAACAGCACATTCCAAACTAGTGACTTCTACCACCAAGGAGGACGAGGGCAGCCAACACATGGTAATTTCACCAGTTGCAAATTCCCCTCCAAGTGAGACACCAGAAACACTCTTGCTCTTTATTCTAAAGTCCAATTATACCTCACATTTGTCAATGTCAGCCATCAACAGTAACTCTTATTTGACAAAATTAGATAATTATAATTATCAGTATCAACATAGACATACCTTCTACAGTTCCAAGGTTCTGGAATCTGAAAGACTGCAGTGCTTCAATGGATTCTTGTGTGTCTTGCTCCCACAAAGGTGTTCTCATAGAAGGTTGTCCCTTAATGGATCTCTCCACAAAAGCTGAAACATGCCTATTTATGGTTTCTTCTGCAGCCGCTGTAGTCTTAACCACTTCTGACAACACTTTCAAGAGACTCTGATTGGTCTTTTTTAAACTATTTCTGTACAAGTGAATGAAACATTAATAAAGGAATGTTTTAATGCACAAGTTTAAAAATTGTATAAAGAATCATCTATCAAATATTAATAACCCTACCTTTTTATCCCCCCAAACAGAAATTAAATGCAACTTCTTAATTTAACATGTTAAAGATATTGCATTTCTTATGTCACTTAACCAGAAACAAAAGTACTAAACATTAAGGCAGGACAAAAAAATTCATCATTGTTAAAATGAGACAAGAAGTTGATAAGAAGCTTTTCATTTTGCACTCATCAGAACTAGAATGCAAAAACAGGAGCAATATTGCAGCATGATCACAGTCAAATAGGAGTTAATTTCTGACTTTTTCCATTGCGGTGGCAGAAGTAGAAAGCTAATTGGAGAGTTTCAAGATAGCTGGACATGTATCTGGAAGGAGAGGCCATGTTCAAAAGCTTGGGAGAAGAAAGGGAAGTTGGAGATACAGGGTTTGTTTTCAAGTGTGGGAGTGGATAAACAATTCTTTTTCTTGAATTGGCGACAGTGATAATAGCAGATTTGAAAGGGGGTGGGACAGTATCTGAAGACAGAGAACCGTTTATGGCATCAACAAACATGAGGATGAGGACAAAAGAAATGTTGGATGGGCAACAATTTATTAGGGCTAAAATCAAGAAGTGGGTGTCATCAAGGGATGATGTTAGAGATTAAAAGAGGGATCCATAGTACATCTTTAACAGAAACTAAAGATGGATGCGATTCTGGACTAAAGCAGCAGGAGCTTTATGGTAGAAGCATGGCTTAGTGGAGTGCATGTGGCTTTACCAATTCAAGCCAGCATAACTTCTGAATTTCATTGTATGAATTATTTGTTCATTATACCAAAAAATGCATTTGAACTAATCTTCAAATTTTTCGATAATTAATGCATAATTACTCTAAATTATACTTCTTTTGTTTCATTCTATGCCATGTTGTGGATTTTGTAGCAAACAAAGGCATGACAAAAATCCTGTTTTTTTCCCTTTAACATTTTTGTCCCCCAAACTCATTACCTAATTTCATAGAAACTTTAGACCTAAAGCAACTTTACATAATATTCAATTTGTCAACTTCAAAGTATGCTGAAACATGCAAATATGAAGTTAGTTTTTAAAATTCCAGTCTTACTCCAAACTTTAAAATCTAACTCGGGAAAGTAAAATACAGATAGGGTTCAGTTAATTAATGTTTTTAATATTAAGTATCCAAACTTGTGAAGCAAATTGCTACACCATACTAACCTTTGTTTTGTGAGGGCATTTTCATCTGCTTCTTCAGATTTTTCTTCACTTGGTTGTACGCTTTTTGGATCACGAGGAGGTCCGTTGGATTTGTACTGGTTTTCTGTTTCACTCTGGCCCAAGTTACGAATTGGTAGCAAATTAACAAATGACAAAAATCCTGTCATTTTACTTTAACATTTTTCTTCCCCAAATTCAATACATGATTTCATACAAACTCCAGACCCAAAGCAACTTCACATAATGGTTAATTTATCAGCTCCAAATTATGCTGAAACATGCAACAAAACAACACTGTTCTTAGCCACTTCTTTTCAATATGTTTTGCAAATTTGAGACCAATGCACTACATTTTGCTTGGCAAAACAAACAGCGCAGAACTAAGTCCCTCTTGTATGCTGCCATGACAACACAAGTCTTCAGCTATTAATGGTGTAAACGATGCCACGCCTTTACCTGTTGAAACCATTAAGTGCAACAGCCCCACGAATTTTACATTAATTTGTTGATAACATATAAATGCTGAATTTAATTATATAAAAAATAATTAAAAATTAAACATCATAATTGCATAAATAGACAAGTTCAGTTTACCATCTCTGTCTGTGTACTGTTGTGGATTCCCAGAGAGCGTCTTTCTTTTCCAGTTGCATTATGACTTTTAAGCTTTTCCAGTTCTGCAAACATTCTTTCATTTTCTAATGTCAGTTTCTCATTATAAACAGAACCATTCTGTAATTAAATGTGAAAAAAATTCTATTGAACACTAAATTGGTCCAAAATTTCATAAATTAACATTCAAGTGTCAAATCATACTGACTGCATACAAATTTTATTTAAAACAAGAGGTAGGGTTTAAAAGGGAAAGAAATGGAAACATCTATTTTAGCATTTTTGAGTGTTTAGGAAAGTTATTGTTGTTGAGAGCTAACAATGTTTTATTTAAATCACGAAGGGCTGAGATAGAGTAGATAGACAGAAACTGATCTCATAGACAGAAGGATCAAGGGCCAAAGCACGCCAATTGGTTAGCAAAAGAATTAATGGTGGCATGAAGAAAAGTTTTTATGCAGTGAATAGTTAGAACCTGGAATACACCAATTGCAGTGGAAGCAGACACAATCAGTATTTTCACAATAAGATTGATAAGCAACTATGAGAATGAATTCCACAGTCCTGCTATTTTGTTATCCACGTCAGTAGGAAAAACAGAGTGGCAGAGTTGTATTTAAATGGTGATAAACTGGGAAATGTTGATGTACAAAGGGACATGGATGGCCTTGTTCTTCAGTCACTGAAAGCATGCATGCAGATGCAGCAAGCTTTTAGGAAGGCAAATAGTATATGGGCATTCTTGCAAGGGGATTTGAGTGCAGGAGCAAGGATGTCATGCTGAATCTGTACAGGGCCTTGGTGAGATTACACCTGGAGTATTGTCTGTAGTTTTAGTCTCCTTACCTAAGCCCATTTAAGCCAGAAAACGTAGACTTTAAAATCCTGATGGCAAATAGAAAAGTGTTTATAACATTCTGTTCAGAGAAATTAGGTCAAAAATTATAACTGCGTAACAGAGAGTTCAGCAACAAATTCAACAGGGTGATTCCTGGGATGCGAAGTTTGCAGTATGAGAGATTGTGTCAATTAGGCCTGTATTCACTCGAGTTTAGAAGAATGAGAGAGGATTTTGTTGAAACACAAAATTCTAACAGTGCTGTACAGGCTGGATCTGAGGATGGTGTTCCACTTGCTAGTTGAGTGTGCGCTCTAGAATAAGGGGTCTCAGTCACAGGATACAGGGTATACCATTTAGGACAGAAATGAAAATTTCTTCACTCAGAGGGTGGTGACTCTGTAGAATTCTCTACCATATAAAAGTTATGGTGACCATGTATGGGAGAGAAAACAACCAGAAATTTAAGGGCAAATTATGTTTAATTAACTTGCTTGAGTTTTTATTGAGATAATGTAACAGAGAGGGTTGGTGAGGATAATGATGTTGTTACACTGTGCATTGACTTCTGGAGGCACTTAATAAAATGCCTCATAACAGGACTGGATGAAATCAATCACACACCTTGAATTCAGCAAAACAGATCCCAGGCAGCAACAGGGTGGAGTTACAATTGGTGAATAGTTGTTTTGTGGAATGGAGAAAGTTTTATGATAACATTCCCCTGGGATCAGTTTTAGCAATCCCTGAAATCCCTACATCAATGATTTAGACATGGATCAATCGAAACTTCCAAAGAGAATTGAACTGTCCGAGAAGAAAAGATTTCCTGAGGAACAGAGAAATGGCAGGGCAGTGGCATTAGGTCAGCATTCAAAATATGCCAGCTGAGACAGAGAGGGGGAGGGAGGGAGAGATAGAGGGGGAGGGAGGGAGAGATGGAGAGAGAGAGAGAGAGAGAGAGAGAGAGAGAGAGAGAGAGAGAGAGGGAGGGAGAGAGATGATGGGGGGAGAAAGAGAGGAGGGACAGAGAATGGAAGGAAGGGTGGGAGGGGAGGTAGAGAGACTGCAAGAGGAGGAGAGAGAAAGAAAGGGGGGCTGCAACAGGCAAGAAGAGAAAAGCTGGAAGAATGTAAGCAGCAGAGATAATCAAGGAGAGGTGCCAAGATGTGTATGAGGCAGGTTGTGTAAGATGTGTGGAGGGAGAGAGGGGCAGACTGGGGAAGGGATGGATGCAGTGGTTGGGAAGCTCTAAGTGAGGCCGTCTGCGGAGAGAGGCTTCAAAAGAGAACAGTTTTGAATCTGTCAATAAAGGAACACTTCACTAACTTGACGACAAGCAACTTGGAAGTACTGAAGTGATGAATTCCTTGCAAATGAATGTGGAATCTCTAGCTTAAGGCTGAATTTGTTTAAAAGCTACTGTTTGGAGAAAAAGTGTAGTGGATGCTATTGCAATCAACATTATCTCCATTACTGAATTTAAATGAAACTGAGATCGGAGATGCAGTGAAGAGAGTAATAACTATCTATTTAACATATTCCAGCTTTGTCAATCTGTGATGGAGATGTAGAAGCTGTGACATCACCAATCTGCAAAAGATCTCTTTAGGCTGATGACTTTTTGTGTGTAATAGTCTATGTCTGTTATTTTGAACAAAAAAATTAATTTATGCCTGCTGTCTTGTGCCAAATACTGTGCTATATAAGAAAATACTGCTTTTCCTTTGTATTATGACTTTACATTTAATGGAAGGTTGATAATCATTGAGGATATCAATGAATCCTTCTAATTCTGCTTTTTTACAGGTCCAACGACCTTATGTACTGCACATCAACATATATACAGAAGATATTGTTATTATGTGACTCTATCACCTAATAAGTAGTGAGCGAGAAGGGAAACAGAGCCCCTGAAAATCTAATTGTTTCCTTCAAAAAAGCCTCAAGAGTCAGCAAAAAAAATTATCTGCATTAGGTGAATGACTCTGTTAGAGGGCCAGCACAGTCACAATGAGCTGCATCGCCTTTTTGAGCTGTAATCATTCAATGGTGCGATGGTTCGATGAGGATCAATTAAAGATTGGTGCAATATTTGAGTGAACAAAGTTGTTGCAGAGGGAACTGTTCCTTGCAAAGAAGAAATTAGAGGCCACTCAATGGTAGAAAAATGCAGAAAATAAGAGGCAATCCGTTAAAAGGTAAGGGAAAGAAAAAAAAAAAAATGGTAACTGTGGAACCTCAAAGTAGGGGTGAATTTGGTCACATTCCTATTGGTTAGATAAGAGATAGCCTCAACTAAGAATAAAGGCCCTAATACTAAATTGCAGTCATGAGAAAATATATAATACAACCCTGAGTTAAGTTTTTACAGGATCAAAACTGGAAAGATACAATCTGAATAGAATGTGTGTGACTGCAGTAGAAATTTCTAAAAACCACATAGTTAGAGATGAATGTAATGAATGACAAAGAAATAATACAATGCTGGATTAAGTGCCATTCAATCGTGATGTGAAAAGTCATAATGAAGAGAAAGCATGTGAAAAAGTTCCAAGATGGAAGAAATTCTGTACAATGTGACTTAGAGTAAAAAATTTCAGATCGGATAATTGATAGAGCACCCTGAAGAATGATGACATTTAGACCTCGTTGTCTGTGCTAAGCTTATTTAGAGTAATATACCAGGATAAAAATAAAGGCCAGAAAATGGGCATAGGAGAAACTGAAGAGTGTTCGACAAAGAGGTTAGGATCGCAGTTGCAAATAAAACAAAAATATTCAGCAAAAAAAAAATCTGTTTGATATCTCTCCACCCACCATGACCCTCACTAAAGATATTACTGTATCATAAACAAGTTCTCCCACACTTCTCTTTTTATTGGTTCTTTAAACTTATTTAAAATATAATTTTCACAGAACTTTTAAATCTAAAACTGAAACCCAATTTCTTTTTTATTCGTATGTAAACATCTCTGTCATATATTTTCAGCACTTTCATTGATTTTTAGATGTCCTACACTCAGATTTCTAGGATATTGTATTAGCATCGACATTCCATCTTTATAAACTGGGTACATATTATTCTCAATCTGCATATTGTTAATTTATTCTCACCTCTGCAAGTTGCTCCTTCAGTTTTTTCACCTCAGCCAACAGTTGCTCTTGTTCATCATGCAGTCGTTCTAGCTGTAGTGCGTGAAATTGTCGTAAAGTTTCTACTGATTGCTGATGTTCCTGATCTTGTCGAACAAGATCCTGCCTCAAGTCCTCTAGTCTCTCCTGCGTGCAAATTGGAAAAAGATGAGGCTGCAATTTATTTTCTGTTTGCAGAGTATATCATTCATTCAAAATGTCACATTGCAACATTGCCATTCTACTGTATATGTTTTATTGCTTTTGAATAAATACTATGTTTAAATATATTATCAGACTTTGTGTTTAACTTCTTTATTTTTCTCTTTAAAATCTATTTATCAGAAAGTACATAAGAATGAAAAAGCTATTTAAATGATGTGTCAAGAAATCTGAACTAGTCCAGGTATTCCCAGATTCACACTTAAAATGAGAAAATATTCCAATTGAATATAGTTACTCTTTTGCCTTTACCATACTTGTACAAACCCTTTGGATTCCTCTTACCATTATCGGCCAAAGCTATCTCATGTCCCCTTTTGCTTTCCTGTTTTATCTTTTAAATGTACTCCCAACCCCACATACTCCTCAAGGGATTCACTTGATCCCAGCTGTCTATACCTGACATGTGCTGCCTCCTTTTTCTTGACCAGAGCCTCAATATCTCCGGACATCCAGTGTCCCCTGCTCCCACCAGCCTTTCCCCTCACCCTAATAAGAACACACTGCTTCTGAACACTTGTTATCTCACTTTTTAAAGCCTCTCCCTCGCCAGTCATCCCTTTACCTGCAAACAGCCTATCCCAAACGACTTTTGAAAGATCCTGTCGAATACTGTCAAAATTGGCCTTGCTCCAATTTAACGTTTAAACACGGCCTATCCTTTTCCATAACTATTTTACAAACTATTCAAATAATATTACTTTTCCAAAAGGGATTAGAAATACAGAGATACGACTTAAAATGTTTATTTCAATGGCCCTTTCAATTTGAGGTTATTTGTGGTTTTTGCTCATGATTATTTCAATCAGAAATAATGGTTGTCAATACCACAAAAAGTGTTACATCATCTTCAAGAGAAACACAAAGTTAAGCCAGCTGCTTTTTCATTTCTTTCTCCGTCTTTTTAAAACATCGTTAGGTACAAGAATGATACCAGTGTATAATAAAAAGGGGAGAAATTATGATAAATGTTGACAGTGGGGATTTGTCAAGTGTAAACAGCAGATACTAAAGTGATTTAATTAATAACAAACAAACTGCTATAGAGGGGGCAGGTTGGGAGATGTGCTACTGTACACCAAGGTGATCCAGAGTGAATTTTTCAATTTATTTTCCTCATCAATTCGTTCAGAGATGTTATTACACATCTCTGGATCAAGTGGGATTTGAACCCAGGCCCCTCTGGTTCTGGGGCAGGGACACTACCACTGCACCACAAGATGACCCCTTTAACCACATTTGGAATACTATGAAGTTTTGGTCTTTATCTAAGTAAAGAAATACCAGTATTGGAGAGAGTCCACAGAGGGTTCTGTAGATTGATCTCTGGTATGGAAGGATTTTCCTATGAGGGGTGTTGATTTGCTTATGAGTAGTTTGGGCTTGCACTCATTGGAGTTTAGAAGAATGGGAGGTGATCTTTTGGAAGCATACAAGATTCTTAAGTGGCGTAGCTGGTTAGACGCAGAGAGGTTTTAATCCCTTTGTGGGAAAATCTCTGACCTGAAGGTGTAATCTCAGAATATGTGATTTGTCCATTTAAGACAGAGATGAGGAAGATTTTTTTTTCCACTCAGAGGGTAGCAAATCTGTGAAACTTTTTTTACTGCAGAGGGTCATTTAGCTATTTATTAACTATATGTAAGCTGAGACAGATTTTTAGATCAGTAAGGGAATCAAGGGTTACTGTAAAAAGGCAGAAAAGTGGAGTTGAGGATTATCAAATTTGCCATAATTTCACTGAATGATGGAGAAAACTTGATGGGGTCAATGACCTATTTCTGCTCCTGATGTTATGATCTATGCTTTCCGAAAATAGACAGCAGTGGAATTCTGCAAGCAACTATCAAGAAATTAATTTGAGAGAATAGAATACGTATGCAAAATAGGGACAAACAAAACTAGATGGTACAAATTTCTACAGGTAGGTAAAAAGTAAAAGCTTAGCAAAGAGAACTGTAAGTCCACTACTGGCAGAGACAGGAAATTTAACAGCTAGACAAAGTGCAGAAAATTTGCTTCTTAGAGAGTACTTTTTAATCTGTCTTCAGGAGAAGACACAAAAAGTCTCCCTGAAATAATTAAGATTTAAGGGTCTAATGAGCGCGTGGAATTGAAAGAAATTTGTATTAGTGAAAAAAAAAACTGGTACTGGAGAAATTAATGGAACTGAAAGTTGACAAATCTCTGGGATCTGATGACTTTTACCTGAGACTGTTGAAGACAGTTACTATAGGGATACTGGCTGCACTGGTGACCATCTTTAAAAATTCTGTTAATTCTGCAACAGTGCCTGAAGTTTGGAAATGCATGGCTACTGTTGAAGAAAAGGAGGAAAGAGATAACAGGGAACTACTAACCTGTTAGCCCAATATCATTATTAGGAAGAATACCAGAATCTATTGTTCAGGATGAAATGACTTAATATTTAGAATATAATTGTCTGATTGGACAGAGTTATCGTGGATTTATGACTGAGATGAGGAGGAACCTTTTCAGTCAGGTGGGGGTGAATCCTTGGAATTCTCTACCTCAGAGGGCTGTTGAAGCTCAATAATTAAGGGAGGTCAAGACAGATTTTGAAAGATTTTTGGTGTTAATGACACCAAGAGACATAGGGATAGTGCAGAAATATGGCAATGAAGTAGATTATCAGCCCTGACCTAAAATTGCAGAACACGCTTGGGTGGCTCAATGACCAGTCTTGCTCATGTGTTCCTGTATGTAGTGAATAGATAATGAATTTTCCATAGTCATAAGGACATGTTGCTTAAGGAATAAACATATATGAATCTTATTAAAAGAATTGATTGAAGTCACTAATGTCAGGTTAGGTTAGGTTCACTAATGTCCTTCAGGGAAGGAAATCTGCCATCCTCACTTGGTGTGGCTACGTGTTGACTCTCAACTGCCCTCTGAAATGATCTAGCAAGCCAATCAGTTGTACCAATTGCGACAAAGTCTTAAAGAAATGAAACTGGACAGATCACCTGGCGCGATCTCAGAACACAAAAACACAATGGTAGAAATAGCCCTGTCGACCTTGCAAATTCCTTCTTCCTAACATCTTGGAGCCAAAGCCAAAATTGGGAGAGCTGTCTCAGAGACTAGTCAAGCAATAGCCTGATGTAGTCATTCTCAAGGAATCATACCTCACAGACAATGTCCCAGACACCGCCATCACCATCCCTGGATATGTCTTGTCCCACCGGAAGGGCATACCCAGCAGAGGTGGTGACACAGTCGTAAATGGGAGGGAGGGAGTTACCCTGAGAGTCTTCAACATTCACTCCAAACCCCATGAAGTCTCATGGCTTCAGGTTAAACATGGGCAAAGAAACCGTCCTCCCTCAGCTGATGAATCAGTACTCTTCCATTTTGAGCAACACTTGGGAGGGGGCACTGAGGGTGATAAGGGCACAAAATGTACTCTGGGTGGGGAATTTCAACATCCACAACGAAGAGTGGCACAGGAGCTGTACTACTGATTGAGCTGGTCAGGTCCTAAAGGACATAGCTGCTAGACTGGGTCTGCAGCAGGTGATGAAGGAACTAACAAGAGGAAAAACATGCTGGCTGCAGATGCATCTGTCCATGACAGTATTGGTAAGAATGACCACTGCACAGTCATTGTGGAGACAAAGTCCCGCCTTCACACTGAGAATAATCTCCAACATGTCGTGTGGCACTATCACTGTGGTAAATGGCACAGACTTCAAACAGCTCTAGCAACTCAACACTGGGTATCCATAAGAGTAATGGAGTTTACAATCTGTAAACTCATGGCCAGGCATAACCCCGACTCAACCATTACTAACAAACCAGAGGACCAACTTTGCTTGAATAAAGAGTGCAGGAGTGTGTGCCTGGAGCAGCACCAGGCATACCTAAAAGTGAGGTGTCAATCTCGTGAAGCTATCAAACAGGACTACTTGCACGCCAAACAACGTAAGCAGCAAGTAATAGAAGAGCTAAGCGATCCCACAACCAGCAGGTCAACTCTAAGCTCTGCTGTCCTGCCACATCCAGTTGTGAATTGTGGTGGACAATTAAGCAACTCACTAGAGGAGGCGGCTCCACAAATATCCCAATCCTCAATGATGGAAGACCCAGAACATCAGTGCAAAAGGCTGAAGCATTCGCAGCAATCTTCAACCAGAAGTGCCGAGTGGATGATCTATCTCCGCCTCCTCCAGTGGTCCCCAGCATTACAGATACCAATCAGATCTTCAGCCAAATTGATTCATTCCACGTGATATCAAGAAACAGGTGGAGGCACTGGATACTGCAAATGCCATGGGCTCTGGCAACCGGCAACAGGACTGAAGGCTAGTGCTCCAGAACTTGCTACTCCTCTAGCCAAGCTGTTACAGTACAATTACGACAGCAGCATCTACCCAACATTGGAAAATTGCCCAGGTATGTCCTGTACATAAAAAGCAGGGCAAATCCAACCCAGCCAATAATTGCCCCATCAGTCCACTTTCAATCATCAGTAAACTGATGGAAAGTATCATCAACAATGCTAGCAGCAGCACCTGATCAACAATAAACCACACAGTGTTACCCAGTTTGGGATCTGCCAGGGCTACTCAGCTCCTGACCTCATTACAACCTTGGTTCAAACATGGACAAAAGAGCTGAATTCCAGAGGTGAGGTGAGAGTGATAGCCCTTGACATCAAGGCTGCATTCGAACGTGTGGCATCAAGGAACCCTAGCAAAATTGGAATCAATGGGTATCACGAGGCAAATACTCCACTGGTTGGAATCATACCTGGCAGATAGGAAGGCAGTCATGATTGTTGGAGGTCAGTCATCTCAGTTCCAGGACATCTCTGCAGGAGTTACTCAGGGTACCGCCCTAGGCCCAACCATCTTCAGCTGCTTCATCAATGACCTTCCGTCCATTATAAGGTCAGAAGTGGGGATGTTCGCTGATGATTGCAGTGTTCAGCACCATTCGCAACTCCTCAGATACTGAAGCAGTCCACGTTCAAATGCAACAAGATCTGGACAATATCCAGGCTTGGCCTGACAAGTGGCAAGTAACACAAATAGCCACACAAATGCCAGGCTATAACTATCACCAATAAAAGACAATCTAACCACCGCCTCTTGACACGCAATGGTGTTACCATTACTGAATACCTCACTATCAACATCCTGGGATTACCATTGACCAGAAATTCAACTGGAATTAACATAAAAATACAGAGGCTACAAGAGCAGGTGCCAAGCTAAGAATACTGTGGTGAGTGACTCAACTCCTGACTCTCCCAAGACTGCCCACTATCTACAAGGCACAGGTGAGGAGACGGAATGCTCCCCACTTGCCTGGCTTGGTGCAATCCCAACAACATTCAGGAAGCCTGACACCATCCAGGACAAAGCAGCCTGCTTGATTGTCACTACATTCACAAACATCCAGTCATTCCACCACTGACACTCAGTAGTAGCGTGTTCTATCTACAAGGTGCACTGCAGAATTTCACCAAAGATCCATGACCACTTCCATCTAGAAGGAAAAGGGCAGCAAATACATGGGAACACCACCACCTTCAATTTCCCCTCCCAGCCAATCGTCCTGACTTGGAAATATATTGCCATTCCTTAACTGTCACTGGACAGTGTCCTGGAATTCTCACCCTAATGGCATTGTGGGTCAACTCACAGCAGGTTGACTGCAGCAGTTAAGAAGGCAGCTTACCACCACCTCTCAAGGTTAACTAGGGACAGGCAATAAATGGTCATCCAGTGATGCCTACATCCCACTAATGAATAAAAGAAAAAGTGGCTGATTCATGAAAATGTAACCACATCAAATGCATCAACAAGTCATGTAGGATGTTAATCTATTCATATTTTCACACAGGCACATGGTTACATTATCAGCCTACTGTACTGGAAAATGTGGTGCAAAAATTGAATGTGGTACAACATCTGGTATGATATTTTGAATATGAGATTAAGCTATTTGAGAGGGTACTAGATCTGACCTGACCTGACCTGACCCGTGCTATAACATACATGTAAGTACTAGAAAGGAACTGCTGCAAGATTTTCATTATTTATTCCAGAGAAGTGGAAACTCACCTGTGCAACTTCATGCATCTCTAATTCAGTAGTTTCTACTTTACTTTCATTACTAATTTCCTTCAAATTCAGACTTGAATGATCTTGAACACAAGAATCTTTGTACAATTGCTGGTTAGCTTTCAACACTTTTTCCTGCAAAGGCACATCTGTAACTATACCATCATTTTCCAATTTATATTCTGTCTTGTAATTCTCCAACCGTCTTTGCATAGCTTGAATTTCAGCATCCTTCTGTTTCAAGGAATTCTGAAGTTCCTCTTTTTCTTCTGAAAACAGATTTTCTAATCTTTTTCTGTCTGCATCAAATTGAATCTGGAGATGTTGCTTCATAGTATTCAACCTCTGCTCCACTTCATTCTCTAACTCTCCACTTATTTGACATGGATTAGGCTCTTCTTGCAGGTCCCTTGTCATCCTAGCCATCTCTGTCTTTTGAGCAAACTGTACAGACATGTGTACGATTACCTACAAAATAAATGAAAATATATTAGACTAAAATACCTATTTAAAAAGCATACACAGTCATACATCATAGATCAAATTATTTTAACATTTCTATTATTTCATAGAAATCATTTTTGACATTCTCAAAGTCAAAAACAGCGCAGTATCAGCTACTGCTAATTGTCATTTTAGACTTATATGCTGTAGTGAGTAAATTATAAGGCAAGGGAAACATATAGTGCAGATAGCTAGCAACCTCTCCAACTGATGTCAAACCACTAATTTTACTAAATCTTTTGCGTTGTGCTATATTCTTGCTAAACTTTAGTATTTACCTTAGCTATTTCTTCCTGCATGCGATCTTCATATTGTTTCTTTAGAAGATGTATAACTTGACTAGATTCACTCTTTTGCCCTTCATTCTCTTGTAATACATCTGTTAAGATAACTTCATTCAGGACCCTCAAAGTGGGATCTCCCCCAGCATACTGGGTAGACTCCTCTCCAAATATTTCCACCTGTTGATTGTACTGTGTTCTTATTTCAGTTTCCATGTGCTCCAGTTTGTCATTGTGTTGTTCCTTCAAATCAGAAATTTCCTCTTCATTCTTGGCACACATACTTTTCCCAAAACATTGTAGCTGTTGTGAAAGACCAAGCTGTTTCACGTTCCATTGTTTCCCTTGAGTGCCACCGAACTTTGCCTCATCCTATATTTAAAAAAAAATGTTGCTCCATTAGTTGCATAAGTTGTTTGGTGTTTTAGTACTCATGATGCTTTTTACAAAATTGATATTTACATAGAGCTAAGGCAAGGGTCTAAGTGCTGATTTAAATTGTTTCAATTTCCAACTTGAAAGTCTGTTGCATTAATACTGAGTCATTAGAAGCAGTACAACATTATCCTCAGGTTAGATTATCTAACAGAAATGTAACATCAAAGCCACTAACAACCAACTTGAAACATGTAATTTTACTAATCATTTGGTTAACCATTTAGCAAATGCTTTTGTAACACAGGTTAACCAATATATAGATCATATCACAGCTTCATTTATATTTAAGAGCAATTGTTAACACGACACAGCACAATTGCTAATGCACATTATCCATAGCCACAGGAATTCAGCAGCCAACACTGTGGTTGCTCTTCACAGAAAATCAGCATTGAATGATAGTCTTTGTTTATGTCTTCGACACAGCAAGCTTGGGCTAGCAAGTGGCAGCTAACATTTATGCCAACTGATGACCAGCTTTAACATAAAAACCCAGCCTTCTGTTCCAGGAAAAGACGTACGAAATCTATTCAGATCAACTAGAAATTAACAATAAATGGTGTCACAGTTGCCAATATCCTGAATGCATCTGAACACACGGTTGATTCTCATTACTATTTCTGGGACACTATTTGGTGCCAAATGGTTGCTGTGCTTCCCCACAAAAATTCAACTCAGACGCAAGTCAATCTATGGAGCATGTTGAGACAATCAAGTGCAATAAAATCATCTACATATTTGGAAGGCTGTGCACAAGACATTCTGTCTTGAGCAAGCACTTATTATCATGTAACCAAAACCATTCACCACAATAGCGCCACTTCCAAACTAAAGTGCAAGATTTATCAAAAACCTACCTACATATTGGAAGGTGGCCTGGACAGTCATAGGAACAAGAGTACGCCATTCAGCCCCTCAAGGCTGTTCTGCCATTCAATCAGATCATGGCTGATCTCAGGCTAACTCCATATATAGGCAGTCCCTGCACTACAAATAGGTTATGTTCTCGAGTCTGTTTGCAAGTCACTTTGTACACAGTCAGAACACAATGCAGGTAAATATTAAATAGCCGTTTGTAAGTACAAGGAAATGGTCACATGGTGAATCTTTAATATTAGTATACACCTGTATGGGATCACGTTCATAAGAATGAGCATTCGTATGTCACACATTCATAAATTGGGAAACCCCTTTACCCGCCTTTGGCCATATCTTTTATACCTTTGTTTAATAAAAAGTTATCTGTCTCAGATTTAAAATTAACAACTAATCGGGTCCAAACTTATACCATCCTTTGTATGTAGAAGTGCTTCCTGACATCTTTCCTGAATGAGGTATCAAGAACTGCAGATGCTGGAATTAGAGTCAACAGAGTGTGGAGCTGGAGGGAACACAGCAGGTCAGGCAGCATCAGAGGAACAGAAAAGTTGGTGTTTCGGGTTGGGAACATTCATCAGATGAAGGGTCCTGACCCAAAACGTCGACTTTCTTGTTCGTCTGATGCTGCACATCTTTCCTGAAAGGTCTGGCCCTTAATTTTTGGACTGTGTCCCCTAGTTCTTGAATCTCCAGCCAGTGGAAATAGTTTATCCTTACTCACCCAGTCTTTTCCTGTAAATATCTTGAAGAATTCGATCAGAGCACCCCTTAACCTTCTAAATTCTAGACAATAAAAGCCTAATTTGTATAATCACTTTTCATAACTTTTGCCCTCAAATCCAGGTACTCCCTCCAAGGCTAGTATATCCTTCCTGAGGTGTGGTGCCCAGATCTGCTCACAGTACTCCAAGTGGGGTCTAACCAGGGTTTTGTATAGCTGCAGCATAAATTCTGTGTCCTTACACTCCAGTCCTCCAGATATAAAGGAAAGTATTCCACTAGCTTTCTTGATCATTTTCTGCATTTGTTTGTGGCAAATTATAGATGTCTGTACCTGAACTCTAAGTCTCTTTGTTGACATTGGTAAGGAAGACAATACCAAAAGTATTGTTTAAATAGTATCCGTTTAAATAGTACTATACTTTTGCACAAAGTTTACGTTTGAGATTTAAATGGAAATACAGAATGGTAATGTTTGAATAGTCCAATTTCTGTTTAGATCTCAAATGGATATGAATTTTTACAAAGAAAAACTTCACTGCAATTGTGGGAACAAAAGCTGGCCTGGAAAAAGCGTGAGCTTCAAGATAAAAATAAAGAACTGCAGATGCTGGAAATCTGAAACAAAAACAG